CTAAATTAGGGACAGCAAGCGCAGATAGCCCTCGTGTAGCTTTGCGCGAAATTCAAAACAAAAACTGCAGGGAAAATATTCGTGATGAAAAAATGATGTAAAATTTTGTGAACCAAATTTGTATTATTGTATATGAATACCAAGTTAAAAATAAAATACTTCTGTATTATCATCATAAAATACTGTATATTTACTGTTAGGGTAAATAATAATAATGTCCGTTATTACTGATAAGATTATTAAAATTCTTTTTTTTTTTTTTTATAATAAATCATATTCACCGAACCTCATAGGGATCAAATCATGTCAATTGTGGCTTAGATTTTTTAAATATACATAATGAAGAATATTTCAAGCTTTTCTATTTCCTGTTATTTTGACAGAACCCTTTTTATTGTAGTACTTATATTGTAAAATACGGTGAAAAAATTTTTTTTCTATTAAAGCATGGAACTGCTGAGCATTATAATGAAATAATAATTTATTATTATTATTATAATATATATTATATTAATTTATTATAATAATAGATGGAGAAAATACACAGTTTGTAGGTGCTATTAAAAATGATCTTTTTACAACATTTGCATTCTGAATATCAGAATGTAAAATACTGAAAAAAGTGGGTTTTTGAGAATGATTCAAATTTATAGGATTGAATCATGAAGGTAAAATGACAGGCCGAGATATTAAGTTTCTTAATATTGGGGTTTTTGACTTTAAAATACCTTGTATTAATGAGCCTTCTCTCTATAATGCTTAATTGCAACATTATCGAAATAAGTAGTTTGGGTATAATTGATTATGAAAAAAAAACAAAATGTCTAACTCATTATGTACCGATTGCAACAGTTTGTTGGGTAAAGTATCTAAAGTTTATGCTTTAATTTAAAAGAAAATGACTTATTAACGTAATCTTTCATTGATGGATATTTTAATGGAGATAATAATCATTTTATTTTTCATTAGGATTTGCATGTTTTGTGAAGAGAAAAAGGATTCCTTTAATCCTGAGGGATTAGATCTTCATTATTACAAAGACTGCCCAATGTTGATGCTCTGTCAAAACTGCAAACAGGTGAGAATTTTTAATATATATATAAATCTTCTAATAATTGTAATCAAATGGTCTTGTATAAAACTTGTAAAGAATTTGTGTTTTGACATTCAGAATACTTAGATTAAAGGTAAAGTTTATGACAAACGCGATGAATTAGTATGACATATATATTGTTTTTCAGTTAAATTGTTCATTTAGTTTTAAAAATTGAAAATATGGCAAAAATTTTCATAATTTTTTTTCCTTTTCTTTCATAACATTAGAAAATCGACAGTTTTTATATTTTCTGTGAAAAATAAAAAATTGAAAGATTTATGCAACTTGAAATATATTTATTTTCTTCAATCAAAAGCTCTCACTGGTCATTTAGGACAGAGGAGTCATATGTAAGGGAAAACTGAAAGTTTAAATTTAGAAAAATATATTCTAATAACATTATTGTGCACGTTCTGTTGTGCAAGTTAGATTGGAAGCAGAAATGAGCCTACAATCTTGCCATCATTCTTTCCAAGAACTCTTATTTAAGGCATATTTTCCTTTACACTAAAATATAAATAGTTATAATTTCCATCTTGGCATAATAGAAAAACCCAATATCTTGCCACCAAATCCACCTGATGCAATGACATTTCTTACTTCAAATTCTATAATATTTTAATTTTAGACCTTACATAGTTTATGCCTATCATAAAGTAACCATGAGGGTTAATTTTTCTTCTAGTGTTATCACTACATTGATGTCAATGGGAAGGTGTCATCTCTCTCAGTGTCATCCTTATCTTGATATACGTAGGAAGGGGTCATCCCTATGTTGAATTACTTAAGAGGATGCCATCCCTACGCTGATGTCCATAGGAAGGGGCCATTCCTATGTTGATATCCATAAGAAGGTGCCATCCCTACATTGATGTCCATAGGAAGATGTCATTTCTGTTGGTGTTATCCATAAATTAATGTACATAGGAAGGTGTCATCTCTGTTGGTGTTATCCCTACACTGATGTACATAGGAAGGGGTCATTTCTGTTGGTGTTATCCCTACATTGATGTACAAAGGAAGGTGTCATCTCTGTTGGTGTTATCCTTACACTGATGTACATAGGAAGGTGTCATTTCTGTTGATGTTATCCCTACATTGATGTACATAGGAAGGTGTCATCTCTGTTGGTGTTATCCCTACACTGATGTACATAGGAAGGTGTCATCTCTGTTGGTGTTATCCTTACACTGATGTACATAGGAAGGTGTCATTTCTGTTGATGTTATCCCTACATTGATGTACATAGGAAGGTGTCATCTCTGTTGGTGTTATCCCTACACTGATGTACATAGGAAGGTGTCATCTCTGTTGGTGTTATCCCTACACTGATGTACATAGGAAGGTGTCATTTCTATTGGTGTACAAAGGAAGGTAACATTTTTGTCAGTGTCATCCCTATGTTGATTTACATAGGAAGGGGCCATCCCTATGTTGATGTCCATAAGAGGATGCCATCCCTACATTGATGTCCATAGGAATGTGTCATCCTTATGTTGATATATATAGGAAGGGGCCATCCCCTATGTTGATGTCCATAAGAGGATGCCATCCCCACATAGATGTCCATAGGAATG